CTGCTGATCCTCCATGCTGACGGAGTTCCCACTAATCTCGTCTTCCATTCCCAGACTTTTCGCTGCATCCAGCCACGCCTGCTTGAACTTCTTGTAGGTCTGACGTGGAATTCTATCACAAATCCTCTGTTGTAAATCTAGCAAGACAAAAAATAAGGCTTTGATCAAACACAACAATAACAAAAAACTAGAGCTTCCTACCCTTCACTCTTTCCTTCGTCAAAGCTAGTTGAGGTTTTTTGCCTAAGGTCCAGCGTCAGTTGAAATTCATTATTCCGCAAGTTCAGAAAGTCTGTATTTCCAAACAAGGAAATTCCCCTATTGAGCATCAAGAACCGAAAACCTTAAACTTTGGGGAATCCTGGAAAATCTCCACAAGAATTTCCAGTAAAGGAAAATCTGTACCACTTTTGAAACATTGGAAAACCCAAGGTTGGATTTCCATCAAAGGAAAATCGGCAAGCGTATGGTAATATGGGAAAATCCCAAGTTGAACTTTCAATAAAGGAAAACTGGTGTTCCACTTTAGACGTTGGAAAACCCCAGGTTGGATTTTCAATAAAGGAAATCGGTATTCCACCGTAAACATTGGAAAACCTCAAGTTGATTTACCAAGATGGGAAAATCTTACCTTTACCCTTTTTGCTGGGCTGAGGGACATCCTCCGTATCACGCCCTAAGAGTAACTTCAGATCATATCAAATATGGCAAGAATACATGACCTACCATGCTGTTAAGGACCATGTCAAGGGGCCTCCTGACTCGTCTGTAAGGGGTGCGGGAACGCGCGGGGAGCGCGGGAGCGCGGACGTGCGGACGAGCGGAGCGTACGGGACTTGGCTTCAGCTTTGATGCTGCGCCCTCCTAGCCCTGCGGTGTCCCGATTTCGGTAGGGGCATAGGTGAGAGGCGGGCTCCGCGGAGGAGCCCGCAGTCAAGACAAGAAGGCAAGAGTGACGAAGTTGGAACTAAGATTCAGAGTAGAGAATACATGTGTACTAATGCTACTATAAATACTAGCTAACATGTGTACAAGGTGAGGCTGGTAAGTAAGCAGCACATGTATATGAAACATGTAACAAGTGAATCTAAGTACTGCGCACCATGCATAAGCCTCGAGGGTGGAGCCCGAGGGATTCCGAAGGGCCGAGTATCCGAAAAGGGGCGTAGGGGGGACCCCTAAGGGGCTTGAGGACTGGTATATGACACATGCTTATTTAAGTTCTCGCTAGTCAAGGAGGCCACAGGAGCATGGTTGTTGTCTAGCCAGGCAAATTGACGTTTCTTCTCTAAGAGGGAGAGTGAAATAAGTTGTGCACCTTTGAAATTAAGGAAATCTTCTTCCTCTCCTGGGACAGAAGTCGGTGCAGGAGACAAGGGTGAAGAGGGTACCTTGAGGAAATCCGACGCTGGTACTGTTATTGAACTTAGTGAAGGCTTCCTTGGACGGATGGAAAAGTGTGGTTCACTGGATATTTCTGTCTCATACTGCTGAAGGTTCTTAACGGCGTCTTCTAACGTCTTTGTCTTCTCTTTGTTCTCTGGTTCAGCAAATAGACAAAAGCTGAGAATGTGAAAACCTCACCTTCGTAGGCCTGCATTCCCATCTTCTCCTGCTTTTTCTTGTGCATTTTTCGGTGCTTTGTCAATAAAGCTCTGGCCGACGCCAATTGCCTAGTGCCAGAAGAAGTCGCCATTGACTGTCTCCAACGAAGATTGCAAAACAAGGAGGCAGACGAAACCCTAAACCCTTGAGCCCTGAAGGAGTCCAAGCCCGCGTCTATATTTTCCACTGAGCCTACGCATTTCTCTGTATACACCATGAACTACGGAAATCCTGAGGCTCACTACTCCTCGACTCAGTGATCCGACCGGAGGCTATGCAGCTCGGCTTGCCTTGCTACGGTTGCGTGATGGGGCCCACTAAATCTTCCCACCCTACATGTGACCACGTCCGCCAAAAACCGTTAAATCAGACACACTAAGTATTGGGAAACACGGAACTTTGCTTTCGAGGGGAAAGGGATGATGCCGTGCCACCTTTTAGACCAGAGGTAATGCTTCGGGAATTGTGCTTCGGGTGTTGAGGTTGTGCTTTCGGGACACGGAGGACATGCTCCAGAGTTTATCCCTTGGCGGGAACAGCACGGCTCCGGTTTATTTAAAGACTACGAAAAGTGTTTTACGGGTACAGAGCACCATCCTGGTCCCGGGCCGCCGTCGACGGCCGGGTATTGTACTCCAACGACGATCGCTTATATCGATATAGCGAACAGGTCGAGAGTTGTCAAGGTCGTCTGTTGTGATGTTGTTACCTCGTCCGCTCGTCAACCCTTCGGCAAGGTCGCTTCAGAGTCGGGGACTCTGGAAATCAAGGCTACTTATCATGCGACAAGCGACCTGGGACCCTCGTGTAGCGATGCCCGATCTACGCTGTCAAGGACCACATAGTCCTTCGACAGTTGTTGCAAGCCAGACACACATTGGCTGCGCATATCCAGACTGCTTGGAGGAAGTGACGGAGATTTAGGCAAACGATTGATTGTTACACCCCTGGGGGGAGGTCAATTCCGTCGAGTAGGGTACTTCCACTCCCCTGAGAATTCAACCGAGGAGTTATCATGGATGGAAGAAGGGGGGCTGCTCCACATCGTTCTCAGATATACACAGGAAAATTCGCATCGATTAGCGAGCTCACTAGAAACATACAGGGGAACTAAGATAGAAATAGTACAATAATTAATATTATATTGAGCACAAACTTGACTATGATCCCCTCCCGGTTACAAGCAGTTCAATGTCGCCATCATTGTTGTTCCTAGCCACGGACTGGCTTCCGTGTCCAAACCACTCCCTACCACTGTGTTGAAACCTAACGCTAGAAATAGAGACTGTAGCCATCCCATTCGCCGCTCGGTGTAGTCCGCTGAGGTCTAGTGAACCAGTGAATGTGTTGGTGCTGCCTCGCATGCTCTCCGATCGGTGGCGAAGGTTAAGGAGAATCCTTGTCGAAAGCATGGAGTGAAGGGCTGCTTGTGTCCTTGAGGATAAAAGCGTGAGGAGATATGGCAAACGCCTGCGACGATATTATGATCAGGCTTACGATATGAGTAGATTAGTGAACTCAGGCTTCGGAAGACCAGCGGAGATTAATGAGGCACATTTATTTATGACGAGGAATGAGGCTACTCACAGGCTGGGTGAGAATGATGACTAAATTGATGATAGATATTCCTGGAACATGGTAGCGTAAGTGGGAAATTCGTCACGAATAAATCAAAAGTGGTTACCAAGCAGGGAGGCAAAATATAGAAATCCTACGGGGTTTGTGGGGCATGAGGGTAAGGTGGTGATGGAGGCTAGAGTGATGCGCACCATCTTTGTAGAAAATGTACATCATTGAAGAAGTGGGCACGCGGAGGTCTGTTGCGTTGCTGCTCAACGGGAGACCAATGACGCCAACTGCATTATCGAGGACTCACGGCCTTTTATCCCATTGATCACCATCAATAGGAATATTCCTACGTCCAATGTCTCAGTTGGCCTTCAGATACCTCATCGTATAGGAAGCTCACCAAATTCATATACCATCAATACGACGTATGAGGCTAGTGTAGAGTTATTGGAATCTGCCACGCCTATGCAGTCGGGGTACGATAGTGACACTATTGTGCCTCTTGGAACGACTTGATAGACATAAGTTTTAAAGTAATTTTCATTCGAGAAACGATTTCACTCACAGAATTGCCCTCCCTCCAGCTTAAAGACAGCTGTCAGTCCGATCGCAAGTCCCGCGACTGTCATTGCGGCGAGAGTCACCGCTATCCATCTACTTCGTTGCCATAGAGCCCATACTCGCAAAACTAGAATCGCTGGAATTGATATCAGCGTTCAGTCAACATGGCCTTAGTGGTTGACATACCTTCCGCAGCAAGTACAGCGAAAAGATACATGTCTGTACCCTGAATTGTCAGCGTCAATTGTGGCGATGGGAGGTGAAAGATAAGTACAGCCGGTCAGAGCAAATAATGTGTGGCATTCTGAGTCGGAAACATCGTGCCCAGCGTTCCCTTAAAACCAGGAGAAGTGAGAGGACTTGCGAGATATACAAAATATGTATGGGGGCTTACGATGTAGTTGTATAATCAAGTTGAATAGGAGGGGGTAGCGAGCAAGGAGGTATAATACCTTTCCAACGCTCCATTTTGAGCCCCATACGTACCTTATTTCGTCGGCAAAGGTGAGTAAAAAATCGTATGTCTAGACCTCACATGTCAATGAAAGGTGACATATTATGTTTAGGATGCGCCATACGAGCAGCGATGCGCTAGAAACTGTCAAATGCCATAGGGTATTGATCAATTCCATCCAGCTTCCCGAAAGATGACGACTCACCTGGGATGTACTGTTCAACGTTCTGTGTCAGCCCAAAGGAGAAAAATACGATATGTGGGTTCACCGTTGACGTCTTGAAGCGCATTAAGAACCCTGCATCGATACTGGAAGGAGACATGAGAGGGAAATGAGTAGCGGTGGGATTTCAGCACTGCACGGCATGGCATATTTCAGTACATCTAGAGCTTGATCATTGGGCATGACACTCGGAATCGGGAGTTCCGTGGTGATTGCTATTCCATGTCTGTGCTATTTCAACACGGCGCCGGGGCTCAAGTACAGAGATAAGACGGATAAATTCAAGACAAAGTCCCACAGGGCGTGATGGTCGCCAAAAGTACTTTGATATGTTGTATCACATTTGTGGAGTAACTAGTCAAACAAGTTCTGGATCAGATTGTTATCTCTACGGACAAGGAATCTATGCGGCTCTCACCGTTTGATGATTCTCACTGTTTGACGTCTGTGAATCAACGCCTGCAGTGATGAGCTGATGCCGAGGGTTCATCACGGTGTAGGTGGGTGAGTTTCCGTTACACACGCCCAGTGATCTTGATGCTCATGATGGTTCAGAGCAAAAAGTGCATCGGTAATCGTACCAAACATAGCCCACCGCGAGGGTCGAACTCGCAGCCTTCAGATCCCGCCACTGTCAGTAGTAAGAGTCTGACGCTCTATCCGATTGAGCTAGGCGGGCGCTTATCATTTACTTTATTGTTCCAGCCATGATGGCGCTATTCAGCGACGAGCACTGTAAATCCATCTCTTTCCAGACCACACCAATCTGATGGTTACAATGAGCCGTCAAAAGATCTCACTGCAGCTCGACAACGTGGTGAGACGATAATTTGAAACTCTGGGAGTACGCCAACACTTTCCAGGGACACATGTTTATGTATCTGTATCAAACCCCGGCGCGTGTAGCGTAAGGCCGTCAAGGCAATGAAACCACGGGGAGGAGCGGCAACGCGCGCTCCCCGCTCACCACTCCAAGTGGTCCAATAAATTGGGACAACAGTGGCCGTTGTAAAGCCCTTTCCCCTCGTTTCCTCCAATGCTTTTCAGTATAGGGCAGACTCGATACGAACAACTTCCTACGAGTGCAGTGGCTTCGGAGAATCTTCGAGGCAAAGCTTCTCGGCTGCGTCTGCCGCGGATTGGTATCACCTTATGTCTATCAACTGCATGCGTTTGTCTATTTATTTTTGCTTCTTCTTTCAAGAGGGCGCCCGTTTATAATGCTCTGGATCACTTTCAATCCCTGTGCGTTGTTCGTTGATGATCAGCAGTGCTATTCACATTCTCTTGATTGTAGTAACAATGCGCCGACTGTGGACAATCACTATGGCTTGTCACCACAACGGCGAGCGGTCGCTACCACCCTCTATTCCAGCAACTATGCGATCGCTACGGCCGTGCTCGCCCATTCCTTGCGTCGCGCGAATGTCACGAGCCGGCTGCTCTTAATTTACATCGAAGGCCGGATTTCCGAGGAGGCTCTCTGTATTACTCGGGCTGCTGGATGGGAGCCCCTCCCCGTTCCTTTCATCCCCCCTCCCCATCACGGAGATGGTATCCTGGAGTGGTATCAAGATCAATACACAAAACTCAATATTTGGAGCCTCGATCAACACGGTGTTGATCGCTTGGTTTATCTCGACGCCGACACACTGGTCCTCAGAAACATCGACGAACTCTTCGACATCCCTTTCAACTTCGCGGCCGTCCCCGACGTCTTCGCCCCAGATGATCCTCGAGGGTTCTCGCTATCCTTCAATGCTGGAGTTCTAGCACTCCGACCTTCTTCCAAAATCCTAGCGGACATGACCAAGAAAATCGAAACAGCAAACTTTCCTCTTGAACAAGCTGAGCAGTCCTTCCTCAACGCGTACTTCGCCTCGAAGCGCGCCTTACTGCCGTACATCTATAACGCTGGTATTGTGATCAAACGACAAAGCTCCGATTTATGGGAAGAGCTCAGGCGCGAGATGAAAATCATGCATTTCACGAATGTGAAACCGTTTTTGCAGGAGAATCAGGCTGCTCATAAGATCCTTTCAGAAGGCGAGCTAGAAGTTGCCATCGACGGGGCGAGCGAGAGGAAAGGGCTGTACAGCGAGGAGATCGAAATATGGCGAGAGACCTACAGAAGGATGATGCGGGACAAGGGCGACATTATTTCGCGATGTTACGCTGCCTAATTGCGTGGCCTTCGTCCCGAGCCAACCAGAGACCCGACATCTCTATAATCACCGGATGGGTAGATGTGGCATAATACGCCGATTCACGACCATCGAGAGCCCGAGAAGTCTACGAAGCATGGCGTTGCCGATTACGCGAAACAGATGAAATAGCCGAAGTGTCAAGCTCGCGAGATCCTGGATCCTTCATGAGACCTCTACCTCGTTCCTTCGATATTACAATGACACGTAGCGATAAAAGTAATATACCTTAATATTACACCTGTATGTATACTAGTTTCTGGAGTTGTACATTCTAGTCATTACGTTCCTCCCCAAACCAGGTAACGAGTTGTGTGTTAGGTTGTTGCGTAGAGATTATTGGGCCTGGTTGATCATGATCGTCGAATACGAGGGTTTCGAGACGAAGAGATGATGCCGTAGAATAATGTTGGCGTCGAGTGTAGTCTTTTCGGAGATTGAGTAGGATTCGGGCTGAGAGCATGGAGTGGAGAGCCCTTTGAGGTCTATGGAGCGAGGGTCAGTAACCACGATACATCACCCGCGGGCTATTTGTGCAGTCCTACACGATGAAGATATCTGCCAGTCCAGGCTGATCGTTCGTGATGGGTTTCAGAATGTATCGCATGGAATGAAAGAGACATACGTTGCCGGACAATAGGATGCCAACATTCATTGCAGAAATTGCTTCAGAATCGATGTTAGCTCGGGGCGCCATCGTCGGTATGCTCCGATACTCACTCAGTAGTGCGGCGTAGTATACAACACCTGGGGACAATCGGTACTTGAATACGAGCAGCAGGTCCGTACGTACCATCTTTATAGAATCCAGTAATGTAGGATGATGATCCGTGTCGCACTACAGATTGCAAATTAATGAAATGGTTGAGAACGACGGAGAATACTCACAATAAAAGGCCCCCTTTGCCAGCATCAAGCCGGCAATTACTTCGTGGAAGTGATTAGGGGAAGAGATAGGGAATCGGGGCAGTTCACATACACGTCTCGTAAGCCATGAGCAGCAAGTAGCCCTGATAGTACACGGGTGTTTGCCTGATGGTAAAGCAGCCATGGAGGTTCGGCGCGATGCTGTTCAACTGCACAACTAAAGATCAGGGTTCATCAGTTCCGCGAGTGGAGTGTGAGATCTAGAAGCGACTTGCAAATACGCCTGTCGATGAACCTAGAGAAGATGACGGCGGCGATAATTATGCTGGTAACAAAAGCTACTATGAGAATAGCTCCGACCGTTCTTGATCTGCGCCATAATGCCCAAACACGAATTATCATTATGACTGAATTATACCCGGGTCAGGGCGATAATACGGGGCAGAGCTTTGGACGAAGCTGACGCACGTTCTGCAATAACGACTCCGACGAGTATCATCCCTTAAACATCGAGTAAGTGTGATGCAACAGTCTCCTGAGGAAACTGGCGATTACAGTCGGTGATTTTGAACAGTAAATGGCAGGTATCCTTTGATCCATTACCAACGTCATCTACAGTATCTGTTCAACGTCTGTTACGGGAGGATGGAGAGATGCCTTACAGTACAGCATCAACGATATGTCCACAAAGGCGGGATAACGTGTCAGAAAGAAGACAATCTTGCCGAAGCTCCATGGAGCCGCCCATACTAGGTTGGATTCATCGATTATAGTGAGGAGATAGTCATAAAACTTCTGAAGAGTTAGTTCAGGGAGGCCACCAGAATTTCGGAAACTTACAAAGAGAGCAACACATGCAACTTCGACGCAAGGTCCGTGAGCCTATCATATACAAGGATTGATAACGGATCGTACCTGGGGCATACTAAATATGACCAAACGTTAGTCTCTTTGGATAGGGTGCCAAGGTATTGAACATACGGAAGTCGTTCGACGAAGAATAAGAGAATGAATGTCTATGCGCAAGTCTCCCAGAGACATTTTTTTGGGGGAAGAAAGAAGATGAGCCGGATAAGAGACCGTCCCGGTCATTTATTGGGGTTGCTAATGAGCCATGAGCAGAGATATGTTCACATCGCCCATCGCATCGCTCTATGTATAACCCCAGCTTCATGACATGATCATTCGGTCACCAAGCGTTCTGACCGCAGGCTGTCATGCATGGGTGCGATTACCTTCATGCAGTAAATTAGCCCCAGAAGCAGGCTGACATGGATTGATTGCATCAAAGTTATGCATCAGATTTATAGATCCCTCGCGATCGCTAACGAAGCTGTGCAGAACTGACGCCGAGCCTCTCACTTAGCAGTGTTCTAGTATATCGAAAGGTTCAGCAATTTGGAATCAGCAAATGGAGTGACATACAAGAAAATTATGGGTCATGTTGGGGCCCTTATGAAAGGTCCAGTACGTAGCCGAGCAACGCCGCGTAGCAAACGAGTGAGAACCAGAATTCTGTTCGTGAGCACTGATAGTTGGTGGGGAGGTAGTACCTCACGAGCCGGTCAAAATCCACTATACAATAAATAGACTTGATTCATCAAGTAGGATGGTCACGAGCAGGCGGAACCTGCACATCAACAACATGACAATAGCTATAGGCATCCCCAAACCAATTAGTTGTTTCTTTTCCTTGTCGCCTTGTCCCAGGTTCGTATACTCCATCAAAGAACGATTCCCCGAGTGATTGAGTGTATGTGATGAGGTGCTGGCGTTGAGAGGCATCCTCTCTCAAGCGGAGAAGGATGCGGGCGGAGAGGATCGAGTGGAAGGAGCGTTGAACCCTAAAGGAGAATGGGAGATATAAATTCAATTTCTGACACACACAAGGGCGGCGGCGGTGTCGTACATAGATAGCGCATTTGTGAATTCAGGCTAAAGCAAGGGATTAGGAATATAAAAGAGCGAAGACGCAACGACTCACTGGTCCCGCAAGTATTAGGACAGTATTCGCAACGGAAGATGCTGGGGACTAGTGTCAGCGTTGAAAATATACTCAATGTTCGGTTCTGTCCCTTACCAAAGAGCACGACATAATATAGAATACCTAAGCAACCAGCTAAGCGTCACGCCAGTGAGAAGTTATCTACCCAGCTTACCATCTTGATATACATTATACAACAGTGATGATGAATCTCGGCGGACTGCTGTAGGAACAGTGAGTTCCTATTGTCACTGTGCATTACGCGTAGGGTACTCACAGTCTCGCATACCCTTCACAATCATTAGAATGACCATTACTTCAAGGGAATCAGATCAGATGGGATGCTTGGAAAGCAAAAGTCAAGAGCTTACAAATTTCGAAAACCGTAGCAATCACATAAATGATGAAAACGACTTTTGTGCCCACAGTCCCATAGCATCCCTGGAGATTAGGTGAAATTTTGTACAGTTCTATGACTAAGGGGCGGGGGAGTCGGTGAGGGGGCTGGTACACAAATGGGCGGAGATGACACATACATTCTTGCTTTTCGTGGAACTTAACAAATGAAACGAAGGCGCCGATCATGCTCGCGATGATTAAGGTAGCCAGGAGTATCCCCGCAGT